ATATATATATATATATATAATAATAATAATAATAATAATAATAATAATAATAATAATAATAATAATAATAATAATAATAATAATAATAATAATAATAATAATAATAATAATAATAATAATAATAATAATAATAATAATAATAATAATAATAATAATAATAATAATAATAATAATAATAATAATAATAATAATAATAATAATATAACTTAACTTTTTTAAACTTTTTAAATTTATAATTTAAAGAATACATTTTTTATATTATTTTATATTATTCAATTATTATTAAATAATATTATTTATAATATTATTTTTTTATTTTATATAATTATTAAATAATTAAAATCTTTATAAAAAAAAATAATAAAATATTTTTTTAAAATATTATTTTCTTTAAATTAAGCTATAAAAGTTATAATTAATAAAACTATTATATATTAAAGTTAATATATTAAATAAAGATAGCTATAAGTATATAATTACTACTAGTATATATAATACCTAACTTAAATAGTAGGTATATAGTATATATAGGTATTTTTTTAGGTTTTATATAGAATAGTATTATTTAGATAAGAGCTTTTTACTAGCTAGATAAGTCTTATATAATATACCCTAGTAAGACTTTTAAGGTACTTTAAATTACTAATATATATTATATAAAATCATATATCTAAGAACAATTACTAGAATAGGAAGTCTATTTTTTTTCTACTAATACTAGTTAGTATAACTTAATATAAAAGAACTAATTATCTATATAAATCTTTAAACTAATAAAAATATATTTTTTAAGTAAATTAGTAAGTATTAATAGCTTTAAGAGGTAGTAGTAATAGTGATTTTATTAATAATAGTAGTAAGAGGGGTAGTTTTAGTAATAAGGATACTTAATATATTATATTTTAAAAAGATACCTCTATTTATATATAACTTATACTAAGAGATAAGTACCTTTATAAAGCTACTAGTAGTGTTATATAAGGCTTATCTAGTTAGTAAAAAGCTCTCGTCTGTGTAGCAAAAATGGGTCGTCCGAATAGCACTACTCTTTATGTATTAGCTTACATATGGCCCGTGCTTCGCTCCAGGCAGCCAAGCTTCTACCTTAAGCACCGCGTGTACTGGACGCCGCCGCCAAATCGCTGAAGGTCTTTGTCATTCCCATTCGGCACTTCTCCCCGCAACCAACGGCACGCTAGACGCTGCATCCTAAAAGGCAGTCCGAAATTTCAATTCCGCGACGAGAAGCTTGCTTCAGCAATTTCCAAGAACACTGCAGTTCTCAACGTAATGATTGTCGACGCGATTCCCGACTTCCTCGCCGAGCAGCGCGATGCTGCGCCAGAGGAGTTACAGCCGCTGATACTCGACTTCGAAAACTATTGGGAGAGAAAGCTCTGGCATCAGCTCACTGATGCTCTTGTCGAGTTCTTCAGCGACGATGGCAGCGCTCCTCAACGCCTAGCGTTCTACAGGGTCTTCATCCTTAAGTTTGCCGATAAAATCAATAAGCTGAAGTTGGTGGACCTTGCCTTGAAGACCGCATCGCAATGTAAAGGTATACCTATACAATACCGAACGCTTTGTCATTTACGTACTCATTCTGTGCCAGACAACCGCGAGCGTCTCGAGTTCCTGCAGTCCGTTGCGAAGAAGGTTGACACCGAAGACTCTAAAGACGCTCTAGTCTTTGCATCTGTTGCAGTAGCGCAAGTCAAATTAAGCCTGAACGAGCTTGATGAGGCGAGAAAGGACCTAGACGCGGCGGAGCGTGTACTTGATTCGTTGGACTCGGTGGAGGTTATCGTACATGCTGCTTTTTACGATGCAAACGCCAGCTACTATCAGGCAAGTCACTTTACACAGCAGTAGTTTTGTGCGTGAGTCGCAAGTTTCTAATTGTTAATAGAGGAGGATGGATTTTGCGAACTACTACAGAACTGCCCTGCTGTACCTCGCTTGCATCGACCTTTCGACCATGCCCGAGGACGAACGCCACCGACGAGCATACTATTTGAGCGTCGCTGCACTGGTTTCGAACAGCATTTACAATTTCGGCGAGCTCCTTCTCCATCCAATCCTAGATGTCCTTGCACAGAGCGAAGACGACTCTTGGCTTCGTGATCTCCTTTTTGCCTACAATCGCGGTGACTTGGCCGCGTACGCCGCACTCTCCGACCACATCGCTTCCAACAAGCTACTGAGCGAGAATTCGACCCAGCTGAAGCAAAAAATCTATTTGGCTGCTCTGACGGAGGCAGTTTTCCGACGCCCTCCTCATGACCGGGCTATGTCATTTGCTACGATTTCACATGAGACTAAGGTCCGGCCGGATGAGATAGAGCACTTAGTCATGAAAGCCTTGAGTCTGGGGCTTCTACGTGGAACAATTGACCAAGTGACCAGCGTTGCTCAAATTACGTGGGTACAGCCGAAGGTGCTGGATATGAAACAGATCGGAAGCATGCGCCAACGTCTACTCGACTGGGACTCGAGTGTAAACCAGTTGGGTAACTGGATCGAGAAGGCTGGCAAGGATGTTTGGGCAGCGTAGGCTGAGACAGCCAAGCTTTGACCGGTTCGCCTGTGTAAAACACAATCATAGATGAAACGGACGACGCCACACGTTATATAGACATGGCTGAGCGTTATTTTCGCACCGGCCTAGAGCATTGCAGTTTGCGGAATGCCACTCTGCCATTATAAAAAAAAAAAAAAAGAGAAGCCGTGCGAATATTTTGTAACTATCAAGACGTTACTATGCAGTATTGAAGGTCCCTAGTCTACTGGAGAACCAACTACATTGACCATGCCAAGTACCCACGAGGGCCACCAAACACACCAGACAACAATCGGTGTATACATCCCCCAGACATTCCAACCGAAGCTTGCCTCCATCAGAATGTCAGGAACAGGTATGTTCAAAACCTGAGAGGATGAGTAGACCATTACTGGCGGTGCAATGGCAGTCAACAAGCCGGCAAGCATTAACCTGACAGCGAAGGTCCTCGAGGTTCGCACGTAAGTGAAGGGCGTAGCCAGCATTCCTACAAGAAACGCCAGAGAGAAATTCAGTGTCGCTAACGTCGCAAGTGACATGCCAAGAAACAGAAGAGAGAATGATTTTATCAGTTGATACTGCTGCACAGTCGCTTTGGAAAGTGACAGAAAGTGCGAAATGAGCCACGGTAGCAGGACTGATGTCAATGTGAACATGGCGAAGGCAGGGGATAAGATCTGTCATGGCAAACATCAGTCTTGAAGTCTGAAAAGTCGACGCATAATGAACAAGCATACCGAACTTGAGATGTTGTTGAACGTGAACAACGGTATAACGGAAAGCGTTTGGCATGTTATAACGACGGAGAGGGGTAAAAAGAGATCTCTCTCAACGGTAGACGATTCAGCTCCAATGAAATTCTTCACAACAGGTAATTTGGGGTTACCGGAAGCTTGCGTTTGCGTTTGAGGCACCTGTCCACTCTTAACCCACAGAAAAATAGCCATGATGCTGAAGTTGGCAGCCAAAAGCATGGCGCTTGGAAGGTATGTACCGATGCTGACAAAATGATCTCTGTGGATGAGAAGATAGAAGAAAAAGCTTTGATGCAGATGCTCCAACAAATTGTTGAGACTCCGGAAGGTGCCCTCGACAATCCTTCCCAAAGTCATCTCGTCATGCCAGCCTTCTCCGTATGGCTGCAGGGTGATCGCATCGACATGGTATGGAATGAAGCTGCTATGGGGACCTGTTGCAAGCCCGAGGCTCTGCCTCACCATACTTCGCAGGATCGTATGCAGCCTGTCCTGATAAGTGTTTGAGTGGCTTTCCATGTCTTGAATGGCAGTATGAACCCCCATCTGTCCTCCGGCAATGTTGACCATCGAGTTGATTAGATCCAGATTAGGCAACTGGCCATTGGTTCCGTCGTAAATGATATGAAGCGCTTCAAAGCGATGATCGAGTGCGTAATCGAGAGCTAGAGCGCCTTGAAGTGCACCAGACTTCAATGGTAGCGGAGCAACGTTTCTGGAATCATGTGCGTCGTGATAGGCGTCAACCCATGCTTGAGTTCCGGCTTTGCTGTCGGGCGGAATAAGGATAATGATGTCCTTGGACCAGAGAGACCATCCTGTGGAGCATCAGTCTCGAGTTTTGACAGGCCACTCGAGAAATAAAGACTTACGCTTGAAGTAGCGTGCGAGAGTGAGCGCGAGAGTGACTCCATTACGGTTCATCTCCTCATTGACAGTCTTCCATGCCGCAACCAGAACGATCGCTTCTGTAGCATCGCCGCGAGGCGCTTGAAGAATGCCGTAAATGTTCTCGCCAGAATGCTCATTCCCTGCATAATGGTATGTATAGTTTTGCCGTCCAACTTTGACGCCGACCTCTTTCAGAAAGCTCTCAATCTGGTCATTGATCCTGTAGCGAAACATGGTCAGTCTTAACAGTTTCCCTGTTCCTGGATCAGGATTGACTCGAACCTACTGGTGATTATTTTTGCTTTCCAGTAAATCCAGCTCGCGTCTGTAGGCTCTGAAGACGTTTTGCTCGCTCCCCCCAAAGTATGTGTGCACCTGTCCAGGTAGCAAGGCATTTTCGGATATGTAGGTCCGTCTAGAATAATTCTCGAGCGGAAGTAGGAGGAGCCAGGCAAAGCCCACAGCGATACAGACGAAGGAAAGATATGGGGGTAGCTTAAGCATCCGCGGATCGCGCCGCAGCGCCATAGCAGAGGCTGTTGTGCACGTTAGCTTCGCCAAAAAGCTCAAATTATATCAGCATACAAAGTAACCGTGGCATAGTCGATGCACAGCGACACGTTGCGCGCGTTGATGATGCCGGCGCTTTTGATAATTCTCCTTGTCGCTTTGCCAGCACAAAGGTAGGGGGTACATGTGCCCGCATCCACTTTGCCAAGGGGTGCTGTACATGGCCGTAATTGACCACCACATACAAATACTAGTTAAAAAGTCTACTTTTTCTAATAACTATAACTTTATGACTACTTAATAATAAATTCTAAGATAAATCTAATAACTAAAAGTATACTTTAAAAGTATAGATAACTAGCTTACCTTTATTTATTTATAGCTTATTTAAGTAAGAAACTAAGAAAAGTTTAAGAAGAAAAAGTTAAATCTTTTATTTTTTCTCTTATAATTACTTAATAAAAGAAAATTAGATAAAGGAAAACTATAGTATAGTAATATAAGTTATAAGCTATAATACTAAATTTATTTTAGAATTTATAATTAGGTAGTTATAAAGTTATATTAAAAAGAAAAAATAACGTTTTTAATAGTATTTATATGTGTTGGTTACTTAGTGTGCTGGTTACGGCCATGTACAGCACCCCTTGGCAAAGTAGGTGCAGGCACATGTAGTGCTATTCGGTGCTTTGGCTTCGCCCCCACCTACCTTAGTAGGTAGGTACCTACAGTAGGTTGCCAAAAGTTCCGTACGGTTAGTACTAGCACCACTAAAACATACCTACTTTAATTATAAATAAAATAAGAACTATAACTAGAAAAAATATTTTTAAAATCTAATAAAGTTCTTCTTTACTTAATTTACTTATTTTTAGTCTTTTTTTTAAAAAAGAAAAATAAGCTAATATATTTTTTTTTAAAGGTTAAAGTTAAAAGAGTATTTCCTTAATACTTTTTACTAGTTAAGTAACCTCTATTTAAGGTTTTTAAACTTTATTTATAATTATTTTTATATTTAAATAATCTAAAAATATAAAAAATTATTTTTTAGTAATTATATAAATACTTTTATATTTAAACTTTTTTTTATATTTTTAGAAGAAATATTTATATAATATAAGATAGTAAAAATTATAAAATACTATATATTAGTACTACTAAGTGGAATTTTTATCTCTCTACTATAAGTATAGGTAAGACCTAGCTTCCTAGCTAATGCTATACCTATATATTTACCTAGGTATAGGAGGGCTAAAATTTACTATATAGAATTTAAATCTTATTATATAGCTTTAAACTAGAATAAGACTAGTACTATACTAAATACTAGTACTATATTAGTATAATACTGGTATTTTTTAAATAATTAGTAGCTAGAGCCTATTAGGGCTACTATAATACCTATTATATACCCTTATTCTTTCTATTAATAATAATAAATCTCCTATTAATATTAATATTAATATTAATATAATAAAAATAAATTACTTAATAGCCTTATTTATTATATAACTCTAGGACTTCTAATAAAGGTAGTTAATATAGTAATAGTAGTAGTAGTAGTAGTAGTAGTAGTAGTAGTAGTAGTAGTAGTAGTAGTAGTAGTAGTAGTAGTAGTAGTAATAGTAGTAGTAGTAGTAATAGTATTATAACTTAAAGTAATCTAGTAAGGGTAGTAATATTATAACTTAAAGTATTAATCAGTAGCTAGAGGTAGAGGTAATATAGTAGTAGTAATATTAGTAATCTAAGAGGTATATATATAGGCTTATTCTAATCTATATATAATCCTCTATAAAATTATATAAGGATTTTATATAGGTGTTCCTAATTAAGTATAGGTTAAATAATAAGATTAAAATTATATATAGTATGTTTTAGCCCTCTAGGTATAGTAGGTATTGAAAAGTAAGTAATAGTAAAAGTAGATTTTATTCCTAAATATATACTTTTCAGGGAAATATAATACTCTTAGCTTAACTAATAAAATTCTCTAAAAATATATTAAGATATTTATTAAGAAATTATTTAGTTTTCTTTAAGTCTTTAATTATTTTTATTACTAACTATAAAATTATATTGCTTTTTAAAAGAATAAGAATTTAAAAAATTTAATTATTTTTAATATTCTAAACTTATTAACTAATAAATAAGTTTAAAAATATATATTAATTATAATATAAACATTTTTAAGTTTAGTAGGTATATTATATATTTTAATAGTTATATAAGTTATTTAAATAAAAAGTTATAATTTATTAAATAATATATAAAAAACTTAAAAAAACTAGGTTTATTTAATTTAATATTATTAATTAAATAAACTCTATATAATTAAGAAAATATAATAAGATATAACTTAAATCTTTTATTTAATTAATTATAGTTATTATATTATTTTAATCTTTTATATTTAATTTATTCTTTATTATTAAAATCTTTAAGTCTTTTATTAATAATAGATTATATTAAATTTATAAATCTAGTTTTATTATTTAATTATAATAATTAAAAATATATTATATTCATAATTTTTAATATTTATAAGGTCAAGCTCTTTAATATATTTTTAGTTCTTTTTTATAAACTATATTTAATCAGTTATAGTTATTTTTAGCTAGCTTTTCTTACTTTAGAGTAGTATATTAGTTAGAATTAACTA